AGGAACGTTTTCAGGAACAGTACAGGGCTTCAGCCCGCCACTGGCTTGAAATTACAGTTCGAGAGATGAGCTGGGAGCTCACCACAACTCACAACGCTGCTGCCATGGGCCAGACCGGACGCAGCACGGATGCTGCCGTATCTGCGCGCCTCCAGCAAGTGCCTCTGCAGCCCCGCGGTGTCATCATGCCAGAGCTCCGGGAGGTGTAATTACTGAGAAAACAGGTCAATCTTTGGGATTAAAGCCTCTTGCAGCATGTTCAGTGATGATCCGGGAGAAGAGAGCAGGACCCAGGCTGTCTCCTCTGCAGGACTGCTGCATCTCATACCCAGGTAAGCCCTTACCTTCAGAGCCTGCAGCAGCCCTCCTGCCCTGGCAAGCGTGTTACCGGGCCCAGCTCAGAGCACCGCTGAGCCAGCGATGGCCCTAGAAAGTCAACTTAATTTCACCGAGACCAACTGACTTCGTAAAGTTTCATCTCTGGTTGGCCTGGCCAAGGAAGATTCATGAAGGGGCTTCTCTTGACTGCTGGGCAAAAGCCAAGTCTGTTTCTCAGGTCCTCAACTCAACCAACACGTTCATGGCACTTAGGTTAACATGCAAAGGCCTTTCTTCCTTCGGGACTTCACACAAAAGGAGAAAAGCCACGCATAAAAGCGGGCAGATTTTCTGCAAGACCTCCATATGAGAAAACAGCAGCCCCCCCCAACCCTGCCTGCTCCCTCCTTCTGCAGCCAGCCAGGGACTGAAGTCCCTGCCAGGCACTTGAGATCCTCAGAAGGTCAGGGACATCGGGTCTCACCCAACAGCACATCTCTTTTCCGGCTATTGCTTCTGAACCACCCTGTAGATAGATTTATGGGTTTGAACATCATCCGTGCTGGTTCAGCTGAAGAGTTTCTTACCCTAGCAGACTGGCAAATGGTTAGACCTTAACTTGAAATGTGAGTGTCACTAAATTTACCGCATTTTTTTTTACTAGCAATTTCTGTAGCCATAAACCTCTTTTGCTCTTTCTTAGCACCTTCCATTTGATTTTCTCGGGATGCTTTGAAAACATTACGTGGAACAAAAAATACCAGATTCAGCAGCAACGGAACAATACTCAGTATTTTCTCCACTAAATTTTCATGAGCTACTTCAGCTTTGCTAGTTGTAGGAAGAGGACCGAGGAATTTCTTCAGACTTGACAGAACGTGTTCAACAGCCGGTGATTTCTCTGGGACAAGGAGCAGAGGAGAAGGGACAACTACCTTTCCATCACATCTTCTGGAACTGCTGGGCAATTGCAAGCATCTTAAATTTTAACAGGAATAAAAGTGATACATTTTAAAATCTCAACACTTAATCTCAACACTTCTACAAGTGGCAGAGTAAAGAGAAGGGCTGATACGTGGACTTAACAGCAGGCCAAATGCTGCTGACCTCATGAGGAGGATGCTGTTGAAAGCAGATGAGAATCTGTCTTCAGCTCTTTACAAACTAATGTCCCTGCCTGCTTTTGGAAGCCATACAGCAAAGACTTCTAGCTCCATTCAGAACAGCCTCTGAAAGAAGGTCAAAAGTGAAGGGGAGGAAAGGAGGAAAAAAGCAAGATTTTAATCAGAATATGATGCAACTTTGAAGTCTGGTCTCTCACACTTCTTGCCAAAGCTTAAGATTAATATTGCAGAGAAGAAAAAAAAAAAACCCAAACCCCCCAAAATTCCTATCTCGACTTTCCAATAGAGCTCCCCAATTGTTTATAGCCCTGGCATTCTGCAAATCAGTGGCCTCATAGGAGCAGTCATCCTTTTTTCAGTTTCCTGCAGAGCACTTTGGAATTAGTCCAGGACTTAATATAGCAAGGCCTGAGCGGGATCAAAGTCATTCACAATCCACACAAAACCCCTACCTGCCCTCTCCTAAACTGATGTGGTTTCACTGTGTTTGAAATGGAGGAGCTCTTTGGCAGAGCAGAGTACCAGCTGCAATGATCCCAGGTTCTAGTTCAGTTTGGTCATGGACAACGTTGTGGTTCCAGGCCAGCAGCTTAGTGCCTCCTTGCAGAGGCAGTGAGGACCATTCCTGACCCATGTCTTCTGGAGGCTTCTGACTCTGTCAGAGATGCTCTCTGTTTCTGGTGGCTGGGCCAACAGATGCCCAGCATTTTGCTCTCCTGGTTTGGCGACCAGAGGTAAGGTTTACCCAGGGCAGGCAAGGAGGCTTCAATGCCCACGGGCTGCTGATGGAGCACCACCACTGCACTTCCCAGAGCCTGGCTCCTGTGCTGGGAGGACACGTCATGGGACTGGCAGCCTCTCTCCTTCGAACGATGCTGGAAGCACTGCCCCTCTCCTTAGCCACCCCCTGCTTTGCTCCTGCCACAGCCACCCCTCAGGCTTTGCCCCCACACGCAACGGGGCAAGCAGACATTTTGCACCAACCTACCGGGAGCTGTGGGCGGGCTGCCGGGTACCTCCGCTTTGCCAGCAAGCAAGGGCAGGAGTGCCAAGAGCAGCCCTGGTTATTTGCAGGTGACCTCCTGGGGGGAGCCGGGCACATGGGGAGCACAGCCCCACGGCCCCCGCGCCTCGAGTACTCACCCAGAGCAGTGATGGACACCGGGGTGCCCGCGTGCCGCTCCCCAACCATCTGCCACTCCCCATCCAGTGTCCGCGTCCACTCGGCCACCCGGCACTCGTAGTGGCCCTCATCCGCCTTGATGCTGTTGAAGATCTCCAGGGTGAAGGAGCCGGGCCGGACCTGCTCCACCTGGATGCCCCCATAACTGCTGCGCTCGGCGTATGAGGGGCCCGGCTGCAAGGTGCCCTCCCGATCCAGACGCACAATTTCGCTGCGCCGGTTCAGCTTGTCCACCAGCTGCCAGGCGACAGAGAGGCGGCTTTGGGGCCCAAAGCCCGAGCGCACGTTGCAGCCAAAGCGCAGGCTCTCCCCCTCCAAGACATTGCTGGCATTGTTGATAATCTCCAAGGAGATGCTGGTCTCTAAGGAGAGAAACGCATACACACAGGGGAGATGATACACACTTGCCACTTCTCGGTCTGCAAGAAGGACGCTGCCGGCCAGAGAGGCTTTCTACCAGGTGCAGGAAACTGCCCACGCATTTGGGTCCAGGCACGTCTTAACCTCATGCGTGACCACATCCAAAACCAGCTTGTGGGCAGCGAGCTGCTCCTGGTGACTTGCACACTCAAAGCAGGTGTAGGCCAAAGCTGGGAGAAATCTCTCTGCCTATGGCTCACGAGACATTGCTGCATCTTCTGGTCGCAGGTCCAGGATGGGATCTCAGCAAAACTTGAGGGAATTTGTGTTGCTACAACATGCACTGTATGCAACCGGCTCTGCCAAAAAAAGCTTCCAGCTCCCTGGGCTTTTCAATTCACGTCATCCTGATCACCATCTTGCCACGTCCATTCCTACAGTATCTTTTGGGAGAAGCTCTCCCAAACTCCCATCTCTAGTGACACTGGAGGTAGCTATCAGTGTTTGGTAACATCAAAAAATATCCTCAGCTTCCCAGAGATGTAAGGCTTTACGGCTGGTTTTTCAGAGATACTGAGTGCTGGTTACTCCTGCTGTCTTCTGTCAAGAGTCATGGACACAGCACCCTTGAAAAATCATGACATTTGTTCCTATAGCTGTTAATTTATCTAATGAATGAAATCTGTCTGAAAGGTGGCTGTGCCTAGAAGTACTACATTTTAGACACTTGTCCAGTGCAAGATTTCTAGCTAGAGTAATTTTCAAAGCCAAACAAATGAGACCAAATATTGGTAGGAGAGAAAAGAAATAGAATTTCTTTTGGAGAAATGAGGAGGGGAAAAAAAAGGCTAGAGGAAAAGGCTGCATTT